GGAAAGAGTTCCCGAACCCCAAAAACTATAGAAGTCCCTGGGAAATAACAAACTCCTAATTATCTATATAAGCATCGAAAAGATATCACCTTAACCCATAAAAATTGAGTCAACAAAGTATGTAATGCTAAAACACATGCCAAGGACATCTTCGATGAAACAACTTTTTGAATTGTAAAATCCCCATTGGAGATGCCCATTGAATTAAGTACATTTTTGACATCATAACTTAGTGTGTGATTCTCTATTGGCAACAAGCAATCGTGGGTTCATTTCAATCCATTAGGACTCATGTTTTCCCGTTTCAGTGCTTTAAAATGCACACCAACAGATATACACTATTAGTCTACATATTCAAAGATCTTATGGGAAAGAGAATTGTAGGAGTTCCCGAACCCCAAGAACTATAGTAGTCCTCAAGAACTAACAAACTCCTAATTATCTATATAAGCATTGAAAATAAATCTCCTTAACCCATAAATATCGGGTCAAAGAAGTATGCAATGCTAAAACAAAAGTGTAAGGCATCTCTAATGAAGCAACTTCTTAAATTGTAAAAACTCCATTGGAGATGCGCGTTGAATTGAATACAATTTTGACATCATAACTTAATCTATATATTCAAACATCTTATGACAAAGAAAATGTAAGAGTTCCCGAACCCCAAGAACTATAGAAGTCCTCGGGAACTAACAAACTCTTACTTATCTATATAAGCATCAAAAAGATAATACTTAAACCCATAAATATTGAGTCAAAGAATTATGTAATGCTGAAACAAATGTCTAAGAAATCTCAAATGAACCAACTTCTTGGTTTGTAAAACTCCATTTGAGATACGCATTGATTTGAATACATTTTTAACATTATAACTTAATCTACATATCCAAAAATCTTATTGAAAAGATAATTGTAGAAGTTCCAGAACCCCAAGAACTATAGGAGTCTCCGGGAACTAAAAACTCTTAATTATCTATATAAGCATTAAAATTTATCTCCTTAACCCATAAATATTGAGTCAAGGAAGTATGCAATACTAAGACAAATGTCTAAAGCATCTCAAATGAAGCAACCTCTTGAATTGTATAAACTCCAATGGAGAAGCACAATTAATTGAGTACTATTTTGACATCATAAATTAATCTACATGTTTAAAAATCTTATGAAAAAGAGCATTGCAGTTGTTCCTAAACCCCAAGAATTATAGGAGTCCTCGGGAACGAACAAACTCATGATCATTTTATATAAGTATTGAAAAGATATCTTCTTAGCCCATAAATATTGAGTAAAAGAATTATGCAATGCTAATATAAATGTCAAGAGAATCTCGAATGGAGCTACTTTAATTGTAAAACCCCATTTAAAATTAATGTCCATTGAATTGAATACACGATTTCATACATCATATCATAACTTAATCTTCATATTAAAATATTTTTGGAAAAAGTGAATTGTAAGAGTTTCTGAACCCCAAGACCTATATCAGTCCTCGGCAACTAATAAACTCCAAATTATCTATATAAGCATCCACATGATATAACCTTAACCCATTAGTAATGAATCGAAGAAGTATGTAATGTTAAAATAAATGTGTATGACATCTCTAATTAAGCAACTTCTTGAATTAAGACAATTCATTGGAGATGCCCACTGCATTGAATACAAATTTTGACATCATATCATAACTTAATATACATATTCAAAAATCTTGTGAGAAAGATAATTATACTAGTTCTCAAATCATCTCAAATCCTAGGAACTAAACGAGTCCTCAGAAACTAACAATTTCCCTATTATCTATATAAATATTGACAACATATCCCATTAACACATCAGTATTGAGTCAAAGAAGTATGCCATGCTAAAATAAATGTTTAATGCGTGTCTAATGAAAAAGCTTTTTGAATTGTAAAAGTCCTATTGGAGATGCCCACTGAATTGAATATATTGAATATATATTATACAATTTTGACATCCTTTCATATCTTAATTACATATTCAAAAATCTTGCGGGAAAGAAAAATGTAGGAATTTTCAATCCCCAATAACTATGAGTCCTCAAGAAATAGCAAATTCCTAACTATCGATATATAAACATCGACAAAATATCGTCAAGATCATTAGTAGTGAGTCAAAATAATTATGCAATACTAAAATAAATACCAAGGTCATCTCCGATGGAACAGCTCACATGTGTTGCTATATCAATATTTTCTAATATTTTACATTTCTACAAAATGAGATGTCATTTTTCTTACTTCAAACTACTTGATCAAATTTTCCTCTAACAAAGTAACTCACAAAAATTTTTTAACAAAGCCCACAATGTATTTCACTTTTTTATATTTTATTATTCATCTTAATTTCAATTTAATATATTTCTATCATTTTAATTATATAAAAAAATTGCTTTAAAATTAATAATACCGAAAGGCAATATATTGAATTTTGGACTGAATTCCCATGAGAAAACATAACCAAAGAAAGAACGTTATGCCAAATTTTGGAAGATTGCATTATATAATATTACAAATTCCTAATTTCGAGGTTAAAATTTTCGTATGAAAGTTATGAAATTGCAATGTGAAAAGTAATATGAAATTTTATCATTAGCTCACAGCGAGCTTATTTTTATTTTTATTTTTTGCTTCTAAAAGTACTTTTAAATTGTTATTTTTTATTTTTATTTTTTTTCTTCTAAATACTTTAAAATAAGTATATTCAAACAGTCCATAAGCACCATTGACAACTCTTAACCCAAACATAAACATCGAGAAAGAGAAGTAAGTCATGCCAAAATAAAAGGCTAACTACCAATGACTTAGAATCCCTGTCACGCAACAACTCCTGTGGATATAAGCATACTCTTTAATATCCATTCATCAAAACTTCGTCTCCTCCTCTCATTTTAACTTTTCAAACAAGGAAAATATTAAAATATTTTCCTTTTAAATTTTTAAAAAGCTGAGTATTTATTTATACACCTACCATTCAGTAAATTATTATACAAACTCAAGTTCAACTTTTTTTCTCGCAAATTCCAATCCACTGCAGAATTAAAAATTGTCAACCAATCAATCATTATGGATTCAAAAGATCAAGAAAATTGCTTATCCAAAACAAACATAGAACAGGAAAAATAAATATCTCAATCGACATGGTCAAAAAGGCAATCAAAAAACACAGCATACTATTACATTGGGAATCATGACTCGTTCAAATAACAATTAATGAGGAAACAGTGATGTTAAGCCTTGATAAGTAAATCACCTAATTAATCATCGAGATTATTACACAAATCGTACATTTAATTCCTGTTATTTCAAAAAATTAAGTTTCTAATTTTACAAATCGACATACAATTTGATCAATTTAAAATAATAAAAAAAAAAGAACAATAAAAAATCAAAAAGCTTTCACGATAAACAAGGGAAGTTTAACTATAAAATTGTGAGGACTACGATGCCTACCCATCCGATGTTGAGAACTACGAAGGTTTGGGGTTTGGATCGTCCTGTTTGTAGAGCTTATCGTATTCTTCGAGCTCCTCGTAGTACACGTCCCAAACGCACCGTACGCAACCGCTGCCGCAACAATCGCCGGGCTCCGGCTTCTCCGGCGGCGGAGGGATCTGTTTCGGCGGATTCTGGTTCGTATCGTGGGGTTTGGGTTGGATTGGGTGCGGCGCGGGTGTAGTAGAGGTTGGTGCGGCCTCGGCCATGCGATTGGAGTGGAGAATTAGGGGTGCGGCGCGTGGAGGGAGAATTTTGGTTGGGGAAACGTTGAAAGGGAGAAGGTTTTGGGTGAAATGGGTTGGTACTGTTCTCATTATGGTCTACGGCGCCGCCACCACCACCTCATTCTCTGTTCTCTCTCTCTCTATCTCCTTGGGATTGGGATATGGTGTTTTTTTATGTAACCTAAGTGCATTTTGCTGCCCTTTATAGTGTGAATTTGTTTTTTTTTTTACTTTTTTTTGGATTTGAAGTTTTAAAGGTTGAAAATGAAGGCAAAATATAACACGTGTAACATGGATAAATTATATGTTAAATATAATTGAATAGTAAACAAATTAACTTTTTTTAATGAGAAATTAACATTTAATACCCCAAAAATGGGTTCATTGTTTTATAATTACAAGCTAAAACTTTTACTATTCATTTAATTACTTATTACTCCTTTTCCTCTTTTTTAATTATTTTTTTTAAAAGAAAATTAGTATTTTAACCTATATTATACAGTTAAAATATTTATTATATATAACTAAAAATTATAATAAATTATAGAAAAATAAATATTATGTTTAAATATATAAATTATATTTAAAATTTATATAAATAAATTTTTTAAATATATAAATTATATTTTAGATTTATGATAAATAATTTATATTATAATATTATTTTTATTTATTAATAATTTATTTTAAATATTAAATTTTAATTTATAAATAATTATGATAAACAAAAATTAAATTAAATGAGTTAAAAAAATTTCTAAAAACTCTCCCGTTAAAGAAAAACTCTTAAAAATGTTTTCGTACAAGATGGAGATTAGTATTTAATATATAGGAGTTTATTTTATTTATATTTATGTGGTTTTCAAAGTTTATATTTATATTCTTATATTTTACCTAATTTTTATTTAATTTATACATTAATAATTAATATACATTTATTACAAAACAAAAATGAAAAGGGTATAATAAGAAAGACCAAAATCATTTTATCAAAGACGAAAAAATTTATTATGTTACTTCATTTGTGTATAATATACCCTAAAACAACTATTAAAAATGAACAAAGGTAGTATATAAAGAATCAACAAGCACTCTCTTCAGTACGAATGTCAATGAGATGAATATAGGTAATAGTGTTCTACTACTCCCTCATTGAATAAGTAAGTGTTATACTATTCCCTCATTCAATAAATTTGGTTAAAACCTTTATTTGGTCCTTTATAATATTTTTTGTTTCAATTTAGTCTCACTTTAATTTTTTGTTTTAATTTGGTCCCTAATAATTTAAATTATTGCAATTTGGGACTTCCGTCCAAATGATTTAAACAGAGTTAACTGATGGCCACGTGGATGCTAGGTGGATGCCACGTAAATGCCACGTAGATGCGTAGGTGGATCCCAATTTTTTTGAATACACCTAGAACCAGAATGGGTCAGGTTCTAGAATTTACGAAAAAAAAACCCAAGGTACAAAATATTTTAAACACTAGATTTGGTAATATTGTCAATGGGGATTGATAACTTCAGTTGCTAAACATTTAGGTTATACAGTGTATCATTAAAGACAATGCAGTGTATCACTAAGGACAATGGTAGCAGGTTTTATTTCATTGTTAGTCAAACTGAAGTAAACCACTTACTACCAAATTGACATTATACAGTCAATGATGAATTTTTGAACTTTTTTAGTATATGTTATTTCATGTGCATTCTCAATAATTTCTTTGAACTTTTTTAGTATATGTCATGTTCTGAATTTTTGTTTTCAGTTTCTGAACCATGTTTCTGTCTTTGAATTTATGATATGTTATGAATTTTTATTTTCAATTTTTGAATCACATTGCGGCATTTTGGTCAAGATTTTGAACTGGATAAGTTCAAATCAAAGAAGGATTTTGGAAGATCTTATCTTATTTGATTCTTTTTTTAGTTTTTTTTTCATAAATGAATATTAATTTATTGTATTTTTATTAATATATATATATATATATATATAATAATAAAAAAATACAATAAAAAGCATGAAATTGACGTTCTGGAACGGGCCGTTCTGAATCCAGAACGGCCCGTTCTGATTTCAGAACGGCCCGTTCTGATGAACTCATGTTGTGTTAAATTTACATTTGGAACGGCTCGTTCCCGTTTCAAAATTAACACATAACATGTGCAAGCAGAACGGGTCGTTCTGGTTTCAGAACAGGCTATTATGGTTCCAGGTGTATTCATAAAATTTGGCCACATGTGCATCTACGTGGCATCCACCTGGCATCCACGTGAACAACAGTTAACTCCGTTTAAATCATTTGGATAGAAGTCCCAAATTGCAATAATTTAAATTATTGGGGACCAAATTGAAACCAAAAATTAAAGTGGGACTAAATTGAAACAAAAAAATATTATAAGGCACCAAATAAGGGTTTTAACCAATAAATTTTTATCTCATACTCATCTCATATCTAGATGGATACCTATTAAACAAATACTGGTGAATCTTTTTGAATATTTATGAATACCTAAACATGTTTAATAAAAATGATATAGCTTAATAATTTCTAAAAAAATATATTTTAATAAACCTTTTAATTATACATTTTATTATTCTCGATAGATTTATAAAAAAAATGGTTTAAAAGTCATAAAACTAAAACTCAAATACTATATACACTAATCAGAAGAAGCAGATGTGGATGAAGCATGAAGAAAAGAAACTCCGATGGCCATCTTTTCTCAAGGACTATAAATAACAGGATTTTCTATTGTGAAAAAAAAAAGTATCACAAGGTGCTAAAAGATCATAAAAAAAAACTTTTTTTGATCTTACTCTTTATTTGTCTTTGTAGAAGACAAAATTTTACTCAAATTACATTTATCTATGTCTATGAGAAGGTTCGTAGAGGCTTATCATTGAAAATAAACTTAAATGTTAATGTTTGACGAGACTTTGTATCAAAAAAATATTTAACATAACTTTGTAAAGTCAAAAATAACTTGGTAAAAAATACTTATTTTGTAAACAAAACTCATATAGTGAATCTTGACTTATTAATAAAAAAGAATCGGACATAATTTTAATAATAGAAACAAATCAAAATAAAATTTGCTCATGTAGATCTTCTCTTCTTAAAAGCTTTTTCAACTATTTCTTTATTTTTGTCTCATCCATCACGACTGTACTCCTTTCATATATCTTCAAATTTTTATTTATACAAGTTTGAAACACTGTTCAACCCCATTTTAAGTGTCACTTTTTCACTACAAACATAATCTTGTCAAGGGTTCCTCTTGAACTTGTTGCAATTAGTCCATCATAAAATACAACTCATAATCATGACCAATCAAAGCCTCATATGTGGCGGTTTGTGATGGAAGAAGCATAATTGATCTATGTCTTCCCTGCCTTAATCCTGCTGTGACAGGTGGTGTTGTGTGGTAGAAAAGGTATAAATGAACTAAAGAAAACATTAAAAAGAAAAGCGACCCACTTCATCATAAAAAATGCAAGATGTTAGTTTAAAAAATGAATTAGCACCCCTCTCCTTTTATTATGTTTTGATTATGACATAACAATGTTTTGTATTCTTTAAGTAAAAGTTTGTGTTATCATAAGATGTTTTCCTTTGTCACAAACGAAACATAATAAACTATATTTATTATGTCTTAAATGAATTGATACTCGTAAGTCTTGGTTCCCTAAATTTATAACAAAATAAAATTGACCTTGGGATCATACAAAATGAATAGAGAACTCATCTACATCTTCCATTGGAAGCTTCCTTTACAAAAAGATAAAAGTTGCCCCAACTCGTCTAAAAAAGAACTACTTCTATGCAATTTTGTCTATCTAATCTCTAAAAAGTGTTAGCACTGACTTTAATGACTTATCTGCAGGATATGCCTAAGCCCCCAGGATACAATAGGGTCGTCTCAAGGATTAGAGAGAGGTTTATTTTGGATGAGTGCCGGAGGGGTGGGACAAATTGACAGATTTGAACTACAACGAGCTCACAAGGCCCATTCTTACATGTGCGAGCCCACCACCCATTGCTTGCCTCTTTGGGAGTGTAAGGAGCATTTTGATATATAAAGGCTCTACACTTGAGTGATTCAAGCAATGTGGGACTATTTTCTTTTGAAATATCATATATGTGCAACAGAAAGTTGTTACTAACTATACAAAAAGAAGATAAGCACACTTTACTATCATATAAGGCACGACATGAGAAGGTGCATTAAATGTCTTAGCCAAATTATTCAAACGTTCTTCTCTAAAGGAAGAAGAAGCAGATGTGGATGAAGCATGAAGAAAAGAAACTCCGATGGCCATCTTTTCTCAAGGACTATAAATAACAGGATTTTCTATTGTGAAAAAAAAAAGTATCACAAGGTGCTAAAAGATCATAAAAAAAAACTTTTTTTGATCTTACTCTTTATTTGTCTTTGTAGAAGACAAAATTTTACTCAAATTACATTTATCTATGTCTATGAGAAGGTTCGTAGAGGCTTATCATTGAAAATAAACTTAAATGTTAATGTTTGACGAGACTTTGTATCAAAAAAATATTTAACATAACTTTGTAAAGTCAAAAATAACTTGGTAAAAAATACTTATTTTGTAAACAAAACTCATATAGTGAATCTTGACTTATTAATAAAAAAGAATCGGACATAATTTTAATAATAGAAACAAATCAAAATAAAATTTGCTCATGTAGATCTTCTCTTCTTAAAAGCTTTTTCAACTATTTCTTTATTTTTGTCTCATCCATCACGACTGTACTCCTTTCATATATCTTCAAATTTTTATTTATACAAGTTTGAAACACTGTTCAACCCCATTTTAAGTGTCACTTTTTCACTACAAACATAATCTTGTCAAGGGTTCCTCTTGAACTTGTTGCAATTAGTCCATCATAAAATACAACTCATAATCATGACCAATCAAAGCCTCATATGTGGCGGTTTGTGATGGAAGAAGCATAATTGATCTATGTCTTCCCTGCCTTAATCCTGCTGTGACAGGTGGTGTTGTGTGGTAGAAAAGGTATAAATGAACTAAAGAAAACATTAAAAAGAAAAGCGACCCACTTGTGTCAAGTGGAAAATGCAGAACAATTTTGCAACAAGAGAAAAAGCATAAAACTTATGTGTTTTCGATGTAGCACA